AGCCATCTGCTCCAGGTGCTTTTTGCACTGTTTTGCCCATGTCCACAGGCGGCGTAAGCCATCTGCTCCAGGTGCTTTTTGCACTGTTTTGTCCATGTCCACAGGCGGCGTAAGCCATCTGCTCCAGGTGCTTTTTGGACTGTTTTGCTCATGGAGCAAGTGGCTAAAGCCACCTGCATTTTGTGCAAAAAGCTGCAAAGGACTCGTGGAGGCACGTGGCGCTTTCCGCGTGTGTCTCGTGCAAAATCCGGCATTTTGTGGCTTTCAGGTGGCACGACGCGATTCAGGTGGTGTGGAGCCTCCTACCTGGGCCCATCTATGCCCAGTTCGGCGATGCCCTATACTGCAGAGTGTCTCACTCAGGCGACAGCGCTGGCATGCCAGTCGGGTCGAATGTCGCGGCTAAACCAGGCGGCACGGGCCAGCTAGACTTAAGCGAAGGCACACAACATGACGCCAACACACGATTGCACGCACCGCACCGCACCCCGTACCCCGCGCCCGCCGCCGCCCCGGCCTCAAACCCGCCGCGGCGCGAGATATTTTTCCGCCTTCCGCTTTGCCCCATTCGTGTTAGCCGGTGGCGCGAGCGGCTCCTATCGCAGGTCCGAATGCCCTCCAAGCGCCGCGCGTCGGCGCAGGAGGAGGCGGCACCGTCGCTGCCGCCACGGCGCCCGCCCGTCGGCGGCGCGATGCCGCGTCCGGAGCAGGCGCCGCCGCCGTTCAAGCTGCGCTTTGACTGCGACAGGCGGCGGCGCGAGGCGCGGCTGCTGCCGCCGCCGGTGACGCAGGGCGGCGAGCGGCGGCGCGTCGCGGGCAAGCGGCTGATGCGGCTCGACATGGCGGAGGGCGCGTCTCCCTACGTAGCGTGGGACGCGACGCTGGTGGGCACGTCGGTGCAGTGGCTTGCGGCGCCGGGAGTGTGGTTGGAGGGCCGCATCGTGGGCTTCGACCCGGACCACGGCACCCACCGCGTGCGGCGGCTGCGGCCGCCCAAGGCGGCGCCCCAGCCTCCGCCACCCCAGACTCCCGAGCAAGCCTCTCCCGGCGCCTCCGCTGCCGCCGCCAGCAGCTCGGGCGGCGGCGCAGGCGGCGGCGCGGCCGGGGCGGAGGAGGGCGAGGCCGCGGAGCAGCCTGCCGCTGCGCCCAAGGCGGGCGAGGCGGCGGCGGGCGAGGCGGCGGCGGGCGAGGCGGCGGCGGGCGAGGCGGCGGCGGGCGAGGCGGCGGGCGATGGCGAGGACAACTGGCTGCAGTGCGACGCGTGCGGCAAGTGGCGGAGGGTGAGGGCGAGCGAGGTGCCCGAGAGGGCGGAGGCGAGGTGGGTGTGCGGGATGAGCGCGGCGGGCATCTCGTGCGACGCGCCGGAGGAGGCGTGGGCGGGCGGCGAGGAGGGCGGCGAGGAGGGCGGCGAGGAGATGGCTGGAGACGGAGACGAGGGGGAGGAGGAGGAGGAGGAGGAGGAGGAGGAGGAGGAGGAGGAGGAGATGGTCCTTCCCGATCACACGATCCGGCTGCACTGGCACGGGGACTGGGAGGGGGAGCTCTCCCCACCGACAGCCGCCGCCGCCGCCGGCGGCGGGGAGGGGCGCGGGCCAAGGGCGGCGGCGAGGACGGCGACGGCGGCGAACGGCCGGTGACCGGCGGGCCCCCCGGAAGCGCCTCCCCTCTTTTGCTGAAGGGGGGGCTTGGCGGCATGGTGCGCGGCTTGCCCCCTCCCCTGGGGGGGGGCCCCGTCCGGGTCCGGCCCGG